GAAGATAAGAGGCTGATTGGCTTATAGCTGTCAGGATTGGATTTGACTTTCCCTGGTTGGTTTATTAATATTATGATTACGACTTTCCATTTGGATGGAAAGTAACCAAGACACAACAAAGAGTTAAATAATGTGGACATAAACACTAATTCTTTCGGTAGTAATTTTTTTAACATAAGGTTTGTAATTTTGTTGTGACCCGGTGATTTTTTGTTCGGATGATTTTTCATAATTTGTTTGATTTCATTTGGCGTTACGTAGTTTATGGAGTTTTGGACTTCGTAATTTTTTAGTTCTTAGGTGTGTTTTATTCTTAGGTCGTTGCTTGGATTATAAATATGGTTGGGAAAAAAGGTATTGTTCAGCATATTTGAAAAAACATCACATTTTTCTTGATCGGATATGACAATTTTTGCATCAGTGTGGAGAGGGGGAATGGTGGTGATATCTTGGTTTAATAGCCTTTATTTGGCGAGATGTCACCCCAGCCCGCCTTTCTATTTTTGATGTAACTCGAATTCAGTTGGCTTACAAATGGCGGGAATGGTCATACAAATACATACAAATTATATATTAAAGGTCACATACCAGAGAATAATCAATTTCGATATGGGGTAGGCTGGTGAGACGTACGTTATTATTTATGCTAATTGAAACTGCTACGGCTTCTAAGTACGTAAGGACAAGTGTAGGCAATTGTTGTTTTTTGATTTTGTTTCGTACTAGAATAGCCACTCCGCCCATGGCACGAGATTGTGTAATACGATCAGCGCGATAAATTTTGAAGCCTGGGAATTTAATTTTATCTGTATTCGACAAATGCGTTTCAGTAATGTATGCGATGTGAATGTTGTGATGATTAAGAGAAGCTCATAATGTATTTCTTTGATTTTTAAGGCCGTTAGCGTTCCAGTTCAATAATAAGATACTATGGGGCTCCATTAGTGTTTAAGTTTAAGCTGTTAATGATGACTGGCAGATTTTGTATTATTTTCTGCATTAATTGGGTAACAAATGTGTTAATTAGTGGTTTTAATTAAAGAGTTTTCATAAAGTCGTTATCGTTATTTGTGAAATTGGCTGATTTGTCTTAATAATTATTGTTATTACTTTTAATATTACAGAGGCATGTGTTATGCGTATTAGTGTTACCTTTGATTGAATATATATTTTAAATATTTAAGTTAGGTATTGTGATAGTGTGATTTTTCCTATGGAACAGAATTGTACTAGTTTTATTTTTTATTTTTGGTTCTTGATATTTCATTGTAAAAAAAACACCCTCGATAATTAGCTGGGTGATCACTATCACAGTTAACACATTTTGGGGGGGGGGGGGCTTCTGTTGGTTTCTTACATTGACTGTAGTGATGATCACTACAGTGTGATTTGACACACCTTGATGATCGATTGCAAAACTTTTTGCTGTGGGAAAATCTTTGACAATTTGTACATTGTGGGATATCCTTGGAGGGTTTACATGGTTCTATTATTATTATACAATATAGAAGTCTATTTAAAGAAAATATTTCAGTAGATGATTTTAATAATAAAACTGCTACGATTGGGTTTGGCGATTTGAACTGGTTTTGAAGGCGTGTGACTGAAGCAACTTCGAATTTAAGTTCTTGAAGTTCATTGTAAATACAAGTTTCAGATGTGTTAACAGGTAGATTTGTAATGACTATCAAAAGCTGTTTATTTTCAGGAAACTGGTATGTGTGGTATTCAATTTCTGTCTCGTCGAAAAGTTTAGTAACGATTCTATAGTCATCAATCGAGTTTAAATTAATTTTTAGGGCAGATATTGTATTTACAATGGAGAAATTGTCAATTGTTATATTTTCTAATGAAGCATGAAAGTTTTCGTAATCGGTAATATTACAAACATATATAGTTGGAATTTTAGGTCTGACTTGGGGTTGCTGAGTACTGTCGTTTTCTGTAACATTGTTCAATTCACCGGTGTCTTGGAGAGTTAATAGCGGAGAGAACCTATTTTTGCTAGTGTGAGGATGTGTAAGAGCGATACTGCTAGTTCTTTCATTTGAAGTGTCAGGAAGATCGAGGTCTTGAGGTGAAGTATTTTTAATTTTATTATTGGAATGCATTGAAATTAAATTAAAAATACGCGCGATTACGAAGTAACGGAGTACTATGGACGACTTGACACTATGGCTACTGATAGCCGAATGAGAGAGTTATTTTAAAACACATAATTGTAGAAGATTATGTCCTAAACGAATTGACTCAATACCATCCACTGAAGTTGAATGTATAATACATTTATTTTACCGAAGAGAATTTAAGTTAGCTCTTGATACACTGATCACATTATCAAATATCAACTAAAAAAACAATGTATTTTTTTCTATTCAGCCATTGTTCAAATTGTTTTCACAACATTTAAACAAATCAAATATTACTCTTAAAAATATTACAAATTCACTCTCTTTATTTCCACCAGATAGTATAAATCCAATCTAAATTATCTAGATTTAGTCTAGGCTCAACTAGAGATATTATTTAACTTGTTACTAAATCACTCAAAACATTTTAAATGTTTAACGAAAAAGCCTGCGTATTCTCGGTTTCGCAGATGACCTGCATATAATAGGAAACTCGTTTACAGAAATAGCAAATGCATCAAGGAAACTGGAAAAAACCGTGGAAAAAGTCGGTCTAACAATAAACACAAACAAGACTAAACTAATGGAACTAATAGATAGTGACATAGACCCACAGCAAAGTAAAGGACTAACGTTTGAAAAAGTAGAGGAATTCAAGTATCTAGGGACAACTCTGAGCATAAAGAACGATTGGTCTAAAGAAATAAATATACCTATAAACAAAGCGGAACAAACCTTCTACGCATAACTGAAATTTCTTAACTCAAAAACGTTCTCGAGAAGATCTAAAATGAGATTGTATGTGTCAATTATAATACCCACATTGATCTACGGATGTGAAGCCTGGACTACAACGGTAACGACGGAAAGGAGGTTAAGAACTCTTGAAAACAGGATATGGCGAAAAATATGTGGCCCTGTGTTTGACACGAATATGGGATGTTGGCGAAGAAGATTCAATAAAGAACTGCAGAAAATGATGAATCTGGCTCCAGTTAATAGCTTCATCAAAGGTCAAAGGATTCAATGACTAGGTCATATCATAAGAAGAGAAGAAAATGACCTTGTACGGGTTGCGTTCGAGTGGAAACCGAAGGGAAAACGACCAAAGGAACGTCCCAGGAAGAGGTGGATTGATGGAGTGGTGGAAGACCTAAAGGAAATGAGCATAGGAAATTAACATGAAATTGTTCAAGACGGAGAAAAGTGGCGGGATATTGTAGTGACGACTAAATCTCAGAGAGTAGAATGGCCAAAAGAAGAAGAAGAAGAAGAATGAAAAAGTCTGAAGAAGTCAAACATATTTTACTATTTGCTAATTATTATGTTGTGTGGCTTTAACTTCTCTAGTGACTGTAACATCAAATGAGAGGACATTCAGTACATTAAAATAAGTGAAGACATTTCTCAGATCATCAATGAAAGATGATCGATTAAATTTCTTAGTAATATTAGGAATAGAAAAAGATATTGTGGACCAATTGGACATTAATAAATTAGCACAACAGTGGTCAACATTAAAAGAAGAATAGAAGAATAGAGATTTAAGTATTTAACTGTTAATTTTTTTACTTAAGTTTAATTTTTAATAAAAAAAAAAAATAGTATACGTTTTATAAATTTATAATATATATTTGTATGTATAATATGTAATAAAATATTTGTATTTGAATACCTGGCCATCATAATTATATTGTATAAACCTTGTTTTATAATAAAATCTTTGGTTAAAATGTAGATTTCTTATATTGCACTACATACCTACTATATAATGATATATAATATCAACCTAATTAAAAATAATATATATAATGTATATTATAACATGAAAATATTCGATCGAAGCAAGACAATTTTTAAGACCACAAGTTGGCAATTAGTTAGACTACACCCCCCCCCCCCCCAACATAGTTTTTTTATCGGGATGGTCCTGGCTATGCCTTTCCTAACCACTTATGAACTCAAAGTTATGATAGACAGAAAACGCATAATTATTAACTCTAATAATTTAATTTTTAATTTCTATTTACTTTTAAATTATTACCGCACGAAATAAATAAAGTCATGTATTAGTCAATAGTTACATAAAATATTTTTTCAATATAATTACAAATAACCATCATAACATCTATATAATGATGACACTATAATCATTAATAATGACTCATTATAAAGACGTCATAATAATCGATTCAAATTAGTATATTCAATATAGGATATTTGCCTTCAATCTAAGATCATTACATCCGATATACAAACTACAACAAACTACAACTGGTATCATTAAATATGGTTTTTACTATGTATATATTATAGATCAATACTATACTTAAAATATAATTTTCATACAAATAAACTATTATAAATAATTTCTGTTGAAAAAAAAAATAGAAAATCGATGAGTTTTGTAACACTTACTTCTTATACCATACATTTTTTTTTGGAATTTTTTCATTTATAATTTGGAACTTGACTCGTGGTTTAATTTTCTCACTGTCTTTGATGATTTCTTTTAAACCTTCCAATTGCGCCTTTTGCTTTTGTATGGTTTGCCAATATTTCGTACTTTTAGATTTTATATCGTTTACATATTCCTGTGTTACTAATTCAGATTTTTCAATCTACATTTGTAACAATTTATTATATAAAAAACGAATATGTCATTTTTATTAATTGTATTAATTACAAATTTTGGAGTTTTTGTATTCATTAAAATATTTATTTCTTTCTCCAAATTTTTAGAAATAATTCGTAAATCTGAATTATTTTTTTGCTCGTTTTCAAATCGCTTCATTAAAATATTAAATTCTTCTTTCATTTTATTTATGATATTTTCTTTTGTTCTTGAAAAAAATATTTGCTTTTAATTACACCTTAAAAATTATCATACATATTCATAATAACTATTATACTTCAATTCTCGTTCGTTTATCAACATTTTCGATGACATCGATTCTATGATCTTGGCCATTTTCGTTTCTTGTATACTGCAGTTAGTGTTCTCCATTATTTTCTCACACCTTTTAAGTTTGACCTTTAGATTATTTATTTCGTGTTTGTCTTCGTTTATAATTTTTTGATATTCGAAGATTTTAGCAGAACTCTAAAAATTCGAATTGTATTAATTTATATTTAAAATTATTAAATACTCGTATATTAATATATTGTTAGGGAAAAAAATGTTGAAATATTACATTTTTCCGTTCGTAATTAAATTGTTCGTTTAAGGATTGATAATCTTTTATCAAACGATCATTTTCTTTAAAATATTTTTGGTACATCGTAATATAAGGTTCTAATTTTAATTTTATTTGACTCAATTCACTTTTCAGATCTTCATTTTCAGCAATCGCTTTGATGCCTATTTTGTTACCTGAAAAAACAAAAAAACAATCAATTATTTTACTATCAGTCAAAACACTTAAAATGAAAGAATGATTACTTTTATTTAAAATTGAACTATCATAAGTCAGAACTTCAATAGCCGATCTCAATTCATTAACGATTGATTTACTTGTACTTAAATTAATGTTGATAATTTTAATTTCATCCTGTTTCGATAAAAATAATTACATAACATATTATTACCGTAGAGTATATTGATTCTATATTTTTATAACTACAAAACGTACCTATAATGACTTAGAAAAAATAATTTACAGTAGTATAATCTTACCTTAAGAGACCTTATTTCAAGTCCTAACCTATGTTTATCACCTCCAGATTTATTCAACAACTCTAAATATTTAGCATGAGCTATTCTTTCGTCCTCTTTTATTTTATTGTTTAACTCTACAACTTGTCGATTTGCACAATATCGTTTATTTTTTAATTCTTGAATTAAAATTTTTTTTTTATCGAGTTGTCCTTGAAGTCTATATTTTAAACATTATAAGATTAATTTAATTCTAACTCATGAGTGTACATTAATGATTATTATGGTTCGGATTTTAAAGCATAATAAATGATAAAAAAAGGAAAACATTTTTTAAAATAGCAAAATAAAAGCAAATTTATCTTTAAAAAAAGTAAAAATAAAAACATGACCAAAAATTAACACGAATCAGTTATAACACTGAATAAAAAAATAATTAACTACCATGTATTTTATAAGATTTTCAGTAGTGAAACTGTCTCTATCATGTGACAGAATGTTTTATACTAAGAAAATTTATGCTTTACATCCACTGAAGTTATCGGTACAAAAAAAGCAAAAATAATTTGGTTTATTTGGAAACAGAAAAATGTGAAACGAATTTATATTTAAAAATTAGAGGTCTATCTCATATATAAAAAAAAGAAGCATTTGCTTTAAAATCCGAGCCCTAATGATAATGAATAAAATACGGATTTTAAAGCAATAAAAAACTAAAGAAAAACACTAAAAAAAAAAAAGCAATAAAGCTGTATAAATATTACAAAAAGTTAAAAAAAAACATTAATAATGGGTTTAAAAATAATAATAAATAATTTTCGGCATTTTGTAAATAAATATGGCATATGGTGTTACAACGAAAACTAAACTGTAATTCTGAGTAGATAATTTCCGAAATGAGAGCATATTTTTGTGTTTATTGCCGTTTTAAGATATATCAATCTACTATATGGTATATCATACGGTATGTGACAAACTAAACACACAGGGAAAGGTTGTCGAAAAAATGATCGAACAAGATTTGGAATTCAAGAACCAAAAATGGAGCCAAAAATGTATAAAATTTCATCAATAGAGAACGGTTGGCCCCATTTGGCTCAAATTATTTTAATTGTTCGTAATTACCAGGAGAAGGTTTTTACAAAAAAAAAATTTAGAAAAGTGCTATTGTTTAATTAATCGTAGTTTAATTAAATAAATTTTGACCAGGTCGATAACTGCACAATTGAAAATTAATTATTAAATAAAACTAATAAAAAACTATTAATTTTATTTTTGGTATTAAATGACGATTATTGCATAAATATTAAACAACAAGATCCCGCAATCGGTGCTAAAACAAACAAGAATGTTAGTTCGAAGGATTATTATGCATATCGGTTGATGATCAGACGCGATCAGGACAACGTTATTCTACGATGTCGTGAGATTTGTCAAAAATTCATGGTCAACGTATATGTAAAGATAGAAAGCGAACGATTTCTATACTTGCGATTCAATCAGAAAAAGCAGTGTGCGGAAGATTCTCTAAACAAATATTAGATATCTGATGTAATCGATGACTATATGTGGCTTATATTTGAGCACATCATGTTTTTCACACGGACAATTATACGTGACGTGCTTTCGAACTATCCAGTTTGTGTTGACGAAATACGGGATAACAAAAAATATTGTACACTCTGTTGCATTAAGGGATTGATATTGCTTTTTACTAATATTGTCATAGTTAGCGATACATATAATTTTAAAGGGTCAATTTTTATAAATTATTAAGAAAATAAATGTTTGATGTTTTTTCATTTTATTCCGTAACCGTTCACAGCACTCCATACCTCTTCCACTTATATACCACATCCTTACACACTTATATTAAATTATTTTTTTTTTTCAAAATAACAAAACAAAATAATGACAAAACAACGTTTGTCGGGTCAGCTAGTATAATATAAAAATAAATACTAACATTTCAAATACGTTTATTTAGAACATGTTTTGAAGAAAATGTTACCTAAAAGCAAAGAAAGTATCCAAAATACCAAAAAATCTGTGATATTTGAAAAATGAAACATAAAAGCAAAAAATGTATCCAAAACACCCAAAAAAAGAAAGCAAATGCCTTCAAAATCCGTACTCTGATTATAAATTATCGTCCATACTTAGAGTAATGGTATTTAAGTACTTCATTTTCAAATTTTACCGATAGCGGTTCTTTTGCAGTACTTTCTTTAGCAACTATACAATTCTGTGGAATAAAATATTTATTAGTAGTAGAATACAATAACAATAATAATAGATAATATTATAAGGATTATAATTTTTAAATAAAAAAAATTTAAGCACTGAACGTTTTGAGAGATAAATATGACTAATATATAATAAAAACTATACATTAAGCAAATAATTTATTTTTTACTTTTTTAATGATAACGAATAAATAAATTAAAACATGCATTTTTAGAAACAAATACCTTAAATATTTAATTTTTATAAAATGTTTTAATCGTTTCCGAGAAATTATCTGTTAATATATGTATTGTTATTTTTTAAATTGAATAAGTATTTGATAACCATTTATTTGGTTTTCTGTAACTATCATATATAAGTAACTCACTGAATATTTTTTCTGCAATTCATCTCTTTCTAAGACAATACTGTCCCTTGGATTTACTACTGGTACAATCATATTGGGGATTACATTGGCACCAATTGGTGTTCTTTCCCACTCATCCTAAAACAAAATAATTAAAATAACATTTAGTATAGCAGAATAGTGTGACTTGGTGTCTAACAAATAGATCCTGCAGTTAAATTACGCCCAGCGTATCTAGCTCCCAGATGGGTGACATCGGTTAATTTTAGCAACGAATTTACAGAACAACAAATCATGGGTGCCAACTAGAGGTCGTGGTTGTGAACGGGTATTAGATTACACGGGGGCACACGGAACCCAGGCACGTGGGCAAAAAAAATATATTAAAGCCCGTGTATATTATAATGGTTAAAAATTAATAAGATGCATTCGTTTATCGTATAATATTTTATAGATTTAAACTATAAGTACAATAATATATAAATCACAATATATATTATATGCTATACATAATAAATCAATTTTATCATCCAAAATATATGCCTATAAAATTAATAAAAGTGATTGTAATTATTGATATACTTTAATTTATTTCCTAGTGATGATAATTGTCATGAAAATTAAGAATGTAATACATTTGTTAGTTAAACACGGTGTTCATTGTGATCTTCAAATAATTTAAATATTGAGTTTTTATCTTCATCGTCGAAATTCCGTAAACCACAACCCCGGAAATTACGTAGAATTATATCGATAAGAATATTGAAAGAAATCAAATTTGGAGTTCTGGAAGAAAAAATCCATCAAGCGTTAACAAAAATTATAGCCATGAATTCAATGCCCAACTTTTATTCTAGTTCCGAATTTAAACAATCAATGAGAATAGTTGAACTAAATTATATAATTTGTAAGGAAGGGTAAGCACTACCAACACGTTAAAAATAAAACCTTTCACCTACTATAAAAACTAAAATAAAAACTAATGGACATAGTAACCGAAATTGATTAAAAGTAATGTTAAATTTACTATTACACTATTACAGTATAAATATAACATTTTTTTATAAATTACTTTTTCAACTAAACATTCTTCCAATTCTAATTGCAATCTCTTTTGTGTTTCACGACATTTCCTTTTTAAAGTACGCATTTGTTTGTTCCTAAATTTTAATTTAGCTCTGAGTGTATCATTATGTTCTTTTATTAATTCACCTTTTTCCTAAAGAATACAGTTTTATAATTAGTAAAATCAAACAAGATAAATATTTAAATCAATAAAATTACAATTTCCTTCTTCAGAAAATTAATCGCAATTATGGACTTCTCTTCTTTATCGATTGCAAGAAAATATTTTTTTTCCGAGACTGCGAGTTTTTTTTCGACATTCATCAACTCAAATTTTAATTTTTTAATTTCAGCCTAAAATAGATAACATGTACAACAAATTAATGATTACAATATCTTTACATTTTATAAACGAAACAAAGAATTTGTCGTGTTACCCTTATTTGCAATAAGTTCTACTGTACCTTACATAGCAAGAGATTATTTGATTTTCCTTTATTATCATAGGTGACTTTCATGATTTGAATATCTTTATTTTTTTGTTCTAGATTTTTTGCTGTTAACTGTTTTTGATAATCGGTTATCTGGTCCTAAAACAAACGTTACAAAAATGTGAAAATGTGTATTCTTTAATGACAATTTTTTCTTATGGTATTCTATTTACTTGTAGTTTATCGATGATACTACTTTTTTTATTCATTTCCCAAGATTTTTTATTACACATATCTATTATGTTTAAATTATTTTTTTCGATATCTTTTATTCTTTTCTGTAATTTTTTGTTATCAATCTGAGCAAACAACATCCATAAAGAGTTTATTACTTCCTTATTGTAAACATTTAATTCATACAATAATATTACCTCCAAGTCCTGTGTTTTAATTATTAACATTTCTAATTTATCATGCTCCCTTTCTCTGGATGCTTGTGTACTATTCAACTGAACATTTAAGTCGATTATTTGACTTTTTTGGTCATGAATCATTTTTATATAGTCCATTTCTGTTTGTCTTAAGTCCTTTATAACTTGATTTTTTTCCTTTGTAAAATTAAATTATGAAATAATTAATATTAATTATATTAATAAAATTAATAAATAAATAAATGAATAATAAATATTATATATATTATGAAGAATAAAATATTAAATGTTCATATGATAATTGTACAAAAAATTGTTCTTATCGATCGCAAGAAAACAATTTTTTTCCGAGAGTGCGAGTTCTTTTCAAACATTCATTAACTCTAATTTTAAGTTTTTAATTTCAACATAAAATAAACAACATTTACAACAAGTTCATTATTATTATATCTTCATATTTCAAACAACAAAATTTAAAAATTTAAATAAATAATGAAATACTATTTTCGCTTGCCAAAAACATAATCAGAACGAAACTAAACCTTAAATGTATGAACAACTTTGTGAAACTTGGACTCGAATAGAAACCGAATGAAACCGATTTTTGTCGATGAGGTTTTCAGTTCTAACAGGTCTCTGTTAGGTACCAATCACATGCCATATACATAAGGTGACCATATATTTTCTTGTTAATACGGGACAAAATATAAAAATAAAAATATCCTCATTGATTACAATTTTTTTTTTTATTTAATTATTATTAACAAGATTAATTACTGTTATGTATTTTAAAAACATAAAATATTAATCAATTAATTACACTTATTAACAAGTAACACATTTTTATTATAAATAATTTTTTTTTTTATATTTATACATAAGAATAACAATCTTAGATCACTTTAACTCCGCAAATATTTTTTTTTTAACACCTAACTCCGCACATCATTTTTGTATATAATTAAAAAAAAGAACAATCTGTATTCTATCGATTGGCCGTCGTTATATAATTCTATGTTTTTATTTATAAATTCCATATTGGTTTTTTGTTTAGTTCTAACTATCCTACTTTCATTATTATTAGCAGAATTCATTCGTATGTAAGAATCCTTTTGCATAGCTAATAAGTTTTTAATGAAAACTGCAATATTTTGATGTGCTGAAGTAAATAAATTATTAAATTTGGCATGAAAAGACTTTAAAGTTTATTGATAAATGTAGAGCTTTAGTGTTTTCGATATTACAAATAATTTTATGCTATTCAGACTCTGGGTGTTAAAAATATTTTTAGAATGCGGAGCTATGGTACGTTAATTTTTTTGACTGTGCTGAAGTACGGTGCATGCAGAGTTGCGGATTTACAAAATAATTTTATTCGTGCGAAGCTACGGTGCGTTCAAATTATGATGAGAGCACTTTTTCTTTAAAAATTATTAAGAAAGGATATATTAATAAAAAATCATAAGGTTGTAATAAATTTAATATTATTAATTATAATAATTATATTAAACAATAATAAATTATATAATAATAATAATAATAATAAAAATAATAATTAATTATATTATAATATTATTATTATAATTTAATATTAAATGCATTTTTATTTTCTTCTAGGAGTTCTTTATCATATACATGAATGCTTTGAAAAGTGAAATAATGGTATTAAAAAATTGTGTCTTCCCTCAAGTAAAAAATTATATGTTTGTTACTATAATATGTATACTGTGGTAAATATATTGATATATCATATCCCCTCTTAAAATTTGAGATAAGATCTAAGGTAATTTTGTGTAATAATGAAATTAAGATTGGTTAAGGTACAATAATTAAGGGGTAAAGCCCCCCCACCGATCTGTTTGGTATACATTTTTCAAGCCCCTCCCAGGTAAAAAATAAAATTGTGCCTATCCTTATATAACTTAATAATATTATTTTGTAGGTACTTTCATATCAAGTTCCACTTTTGATTTTATTTTTTCACAGGACAATTCTTTTTTTTTGTATATTTCTAATTCAGATTCTATTTGGGCATATTTTATCTTTGATTCTTTCAATTCTTTTTCGGCTAAGTTCAGCTTTAAATATATATCTGGATACATATTTTGTTCGTTATATCTGTAAATTAATTAAAACGTTCAGAAATCGTCATCCTCATTCTGGTTATTATCATAATTATGATTATAGTTTTTTCATTAACCGTTCATAATGTATACATGTGTATATGTTACCGTCATTGTCGGAAATTCAGACAATGTAGGTAATTACTAGGCAATGTTAGTAATTGGTGGTGCAAACCAGTCATTGTGCGAAATCGGTGAATATTTCCGACATCGATTCATAAGTTTACAGCCAATGCCATTTATCGGTTATCGATTTATCACCAATGAAACTCTATATTTCATTTTAACTCTAATAAAATAATGAATGAAAGTTAATTTATCTATAAATTCAATGCAATAACCAGTTCACTTTTGAAGACATTAATAAGCATAAATATCAGCTTTAAATAAACAGACATATAAAACGAGATAAGTCCACTATCGTTAAATAATTGTACATATTTGTTTATTGCACTAATACGTAGAGCAGCTTCTGCTGCATAATCTCAGATACAAATCAATTTTCAAAAAAAGAAAACTACATATCTGGTTGTTGCACCAAATATTTCAATTAAATTGTACTATACACTTTCAGTCAAGCGATCTTTGTCCGTTAAGTGTGTACGTACCTACCGTGTATTTATAAATTATAAAATCACAGTATTTATTAATAACGGATTTAGCCAATAAGCGTGAACAATTTAATACAAATATTGATTCATTATTCGTTAAAAAACGTAGAGATATTATTATTTTTTTTTTTGAGTATCAACCACCAGCAATATTGCACTCTAAAAATGGTAGAAAATTTATGAATCTCATTTTAAGAAAACTCATTGAAATGTGGGGAGATATAAACATCGTTTACGGAAAACCTCAACATACGTCAATCACAAGGGTCAATAGAACGGGAAAATCGAAATGTTGAAGATATGCAGGCTGCTTGGTTGGCAGAAAATAATTCTACAGATTGGCCAACAGCATTGCAATTTATTCAATTTCGAAAAAAATGTACTTTTCATTCAGGTGATAATTCGATAAATATTTATAAATAATTAAAATATATTATTCATTTAAATATAAGCAAGGATATTGCAGCTAATCATCAAATTTAATAATTTACATATAAAATGTATTTTCAGGTATAGGAAGATCACCCTATAAAACAATGTTTGTTTGCCCAGTAAGATTAGGAGTAATGTTAGTCAAATTCCGGACAGATACAATTACCTATTTGAATTCTGAAGAAGATATTAATTTATTCATATAAAAGGACTTAAGTCCTATACATAAACATATAACATAAACGTAAACAAGGTTATACAGTGGTCGCCGCTTAATGTAATCACGTTGGTACGAGACATAACTGATAACATAATCCGATTGATAACATTAAACGTAAGTTATAAATAATAATAAAACCAACGTTAAATAAAAAAAAAATGAATAATGTAGTGTTGCATCAAATTTTATAATCATAATACATAGTTATTAAAAATATAAAATTAAAAAAATTAAATTAAATGTAAATAAATATGTATAATATGTAAAAGGATTTTATTATTTAATTGTTTATCCCTCTTTATTAATCACTCATTAAAAATAACTGATGTCATCCAAGCATTTGTGTTGGTATAATAATCAACTGGTAAACATTTTACTGATTTAAAACCACGAGGATTTTTACGTTTCCCTATAACCAAAAGTTTTTGTTTTTTACCTAACATACTTGTACAACATAGGACAAAGATGCGCTCTTTTGCTATTTTACAGCATTTTGCGTTTTCATTTTTGAATAAATAAGTATGCTCAGGCAAGGCACGATAAAATAATCTAGTTTCATCAGCATTACAAGCATTGTCGGGCGTATATTCTGAAATAATTTTTGACCATTCAGTTTTTATCCAATTTTCTGCTGCCGAGAAATCTGCGTCTTTTTGTTCTTTGTACGTTTATTTGTATACAATATTTTCACGTTTTATCCAGCGATGAAAACATTCTGAGGCAATAAAATTTTCTATACCCATTTTTTTTTGCAAGTTCTTCAGCTTTTTGACGCAATATTGGACCATTAATGCGTGCATCATTTTTTCTAACATTAATAAACCATAATGTTAATGCTGATTCAACCTGTTTTTCTTTCTCACTGCGTATCCTCTTTATGTTTGGATTTTTAAATAATTTAGTGTTGCTAAATTTTCTATTTCAATTCGTTTTTTTAATAATTTATACAATAATGGTTGGGAAATTTGTAGTTTTATAGCTGCTTCTCATTGTCCCATTTTTGGTAAATTGTCGTAACGTTGTAGTATTAAAATTTTATCATAAATTGTCAGGTCACTTATTTTTTGTTTTTCACTCAATTTTACTCACACGCGATACAGATACATACAAACGTGATAATGGTCGACGGGCAGCAACGATACTATCTTAATGCTATATGAACGAAAGGTAGATAAATATACGGTAAATAAATAACGGTATATTCGAGACATTCGACGAAAACTTTGATTGTATGTTACAAAATTATAATTTTATGACCTCAAACTGATAATATTATGAGGCGTATTGATTACAATAGCCGTCATAATTTACACATATAAGTATACATTCGGTCCGTACTTATACTTTTCGATAACAATAAACGTTTGATAACATTAACTGGATTACATTAAGCGGCGACCACTGTATTTATATTAAACGCATTATGTGAACTCTTATAGTCTTATACACAGTAAGATAACAAAAATAACAAAATTAAAACTAAATTATAAATACAATTGTAAAATTTACATTTATAAATGAAACGAACTTATTAGGTAAATAACAACAAAGAAAAATGTAAAAGTGAGAGGTGCTAAACAAAATCATAAGTAATAGAATTATCCGCAACCATCAAGATAGTAAAGGGACTGTTTATCATATAGTTCATTTTATAAGGGAGATGTGATAAAATAAGTCACTATTTATTGAGTTGAGGAGGTTAATTTTAAAATGAATAAGGGAAAGGAGTTCTTGACAATCAATGTTCCCAAAAAGTAAATTTTGTAAAAGCTTAGATAATAATAAAGTGCGCTTATATTTTAATATAGAAAGACCTATAAAGATTGATCAATTTTAACACTGAATCATACGAATCATGAGGAGATCTATGAATGTTAAAATTGAAGGAGATAAATCGTAAAAAGTTATTCTAAATTGATTCAATGGCATCGATTTGCTTTGACGTATTATTAGTCCAAATTAATGGAAAATATTCCAAGTTAAAGCAGACAAGGGCACAGAAAAACATTTTTAGGAATAGAGGATCTCTGAATAATCCACAAGTTCGTTTAATAAAACCTGATTTGCGCATTGTCTTGTTTTTCATCATTTCAGTAAGGGCTGAGAAATTTAGTTTTAAATCAAAAATTACACAATTCCTTAAAGTTAGTCAATATTTCAATAGTTTAGTCAGAAATATAATAATTATAGTTGATAGGATTTTTGATCAAACAAAAGCGGATAAATTCGTATTTGTCAATATTTAATGACTGTCGGTTAGCTGAGAATCAAAATTGAATATTATTTAAATCGATTTGTTAGTCAAACGCGTCCCTTTGGTGCTTATTAATTATTTTTATGATAGCTACTATAAATAGTGAACCAGAATAATCTCATGGCATAGATCATGTTATGTTATATATTAATAGGTAATATAATTTTTAAATTGAAGAGTAATTATAGTGTTTTTAATTACATAGTTAATCAACGACAAGAAAACATACTTCGTGCTAGAGGCGGCACGAAATATTTTACTTCATGAGTCCTGTTAGGATTTTGACCACCCACATACCTAACTAAAAATAAATTTAATGGTAGCTTGTAAAAAGAGTTCCTCCACTATTTGTTCTACATGCTACATACCCACTCGATACCCAATGGTCAATATCTACTCACCTACCCACCCACTGACTTGAGTCCAGGGACTCAAAAATCTGCTGTCACGCCGCCATTGCTTCGTGCTCGTGAAGAATTGGTGAAACATTTAGAAAAGCAGACAAAACAAATAATAATAATAATAAATACATCAAATAGCAAATTCGAAAACATAAATGTGGGGACTACTATACCAATACCGATTCCTGATATCGATAGGACACATCTAGATCGTCTAGAAATGTATTAGCTGTTTTTTCAGATGTTCAATATAACTTCTATTAAGTATGTGAGCACCTAACTAGATTATAAATGAGATAATACACTATTGGTTTTTTTATTAATTGATTAAACGTTGTAGGTACAGAAAATGTTTTTCCTAAATAAAAGTATACAAGAACAGAAATAGCCCTTTTTAAGGAAAATTTTCTTGACTTAAAAATAGCTATATTATCACCAAAATCAAATTAACTGACTCTCCAGGAGACTACCGAGCATAACAGTATTGCAAAGAGTCAATGTTATTGGAGGTGTCATTATGAAAAAAGTATGCGCTTGTTGAGTATCAAAAAAACTACGGAACTGGAAATTACATAATAGCTTACGCTGTGAAAATAAAATAAAATTTTAAACTGTATTGATGTTTAACTTTTAATAAACATAATAAATTAAATATTGTCAACTTTGACCGTTAATCTTAGCCATTTTCGGTAATGTATATCTAGTGTCAAAATTGCCTAACCAAATTAGCCATTGCCACAAATGAACAATCATTCTCAGTTATCACTGATTGCCGACATTGACTATAACATTATCATATATATATATATATATATATATATATATATATATATATATATAATTCAATAAAGTAGGTGCTGGGGCGGGTTTTATCACTAACCAAGGGAGGGGCTAATGAAGGTTTAAGAATTTAGTTAGTTTTTTAAATCTATATAAAATTTTAAATTATAGAATACGTTTTTGAGCCCCTCATAAATGAGTAATTTTTTTCATAATAATGACAAAGTTTAAATAGTTACATTATTGGTATCAATTTTAATCTGAAACCATTTTCAAACATAGGTAAATATATATAATTAGGCTTAGGGACTTCTAGCATTTGCGTACTTTTTTTTAATTATTGTTAAATATAGCAGAGTGCGAAATAAATTCGTTTCTCGGTGCTATGATATCAGATCTAAAATTTGAATGTGCATATTTTTGCATATTTGATAGATTTTGCAGGAGAGTGCATATTTTAAAATGTTTATGCTTATTTTGAATATTTTGACAAATTTTCCAAATTTAAAATTGAAAACTATGGATACATATTTCAACCTATCGAGAAAAAAAAATATTAAGAGGACTTAATACTTCCAGTAATATGCTATCTGCAAACTACCTCTCATACCTTGTTATAATTTTCGTGTAAGTATAAATAATATTATAAACCTGTATCGACCGGAAGTCGATAAAAATAATAGTTGATATAGAATAATAGATTATTTGTTTAGAGTCCAGTTCAGTTGATTATTACCCAGGGCCGTAGCTAGGGGTTGGCGAGAAGTGTCTACGCCCCGGGCGCAATTCCTGGGAGAACGCAAAAATGAAAATCTTGCGTTTAATGTTAAAAATTACAACGGTCAATGTCGTATATTTTGTTTACAAAATCTTTAACAGCCTTTATATTATAATCAAAACAATCATCGAAAATAATATCTAATAAGCATAATATTTTCAAATTGAAAATACGTAAGGGCGCATTTTGAAGTTTCGCCCCGGGCGCAATGTTTGGTTGCTACGGCATTGTTATTATTCGTCGTTATTTTTACATTTTGTTTTTACCAAAAATTTTACTTGTAAATTTTGAGCCTGAATTAAAGAAAAAATTTTAGTCGCCCCCCTTAGAAGTAAATCTAAATATGCTCCTGGGCTAATGTCCCCTAGCTACCCCCTTAAATCCACCCATGAGTAAGTGTTTTCTATACTTGTCTTCATCCAACTGAGAGTCGCTTTCCCTCTGCCGTATATATCCTGAGAAATCAGAACTGGTGGAAGTGAACGATGAACTCATTTTGAGAATACTGTTTAAGAACATCATTAAAGTATTGAATTATTTATACAATCAATTTTATTTTAAAAACGGATCAGTCGGCTTACCAGGTGTTTAGCTTCCAACTTAATTCTTCTTTCTGCGTTAAGAAATGAAATTCTTTGTAATTCTATGTAAAATTTACCAAATTTTACTGTTAATAATTAATAAATCTAATTAATATTAATTTTATGTTTAAAATTAAAAAATGTTTTTTTTAAACATTGTTATGGAAATATAGATTCATAAAAACATTGATATTAATAAAACTTTTTAATAGCCATTACATTTCCTTTACATGTCCTCTACGTGAATACCACATATTCGATTATCGCAATACGATGCGTCCGATCCGATAAGATTTCATTATCCGATACTGAGGTGTGTGCGATACACATGATAAATGTGAAATTGCAATCATAACAGAACATTTCAACTTTATCAGGCACTGAATTTTTTTCGGTCCAATTTATTTTTCAATGTTGAATACGATGGTCCAAACAAAAATTGGCAACCTATTTTTTAAAACAAAATATTTTTTTGCTGAAGTATTGAAAAAACTTACTGCTTTAATTATTCCGATTGCATTTCTAACAAATATTTGTTACATCCTTTTATTATATATACATTAAGAGCATGACTAAAACATAAACATTTTATGGCAAATGTCATTAGAGTTTGTAATAATTTAATTGCACCGAATTTTTCAGATTGCATCACAGAACATCCATCTGTAGTTATTCCTACACATTTATTCATAGGTAAAGTTAAATTGTCTAAAATAAATTGTGAAGCAGTTATTGTTAATTTTCTCGATCGCAATTGTAACAGCCTGTCAATAAACTAGAGGAAGACATTTGAATGATATTATTTTTCATACGTAAACCAGTTGTTAAACTGAGACTGAATATATCCTTTTTTGTGAAGTTTTAGATAAATCAGTTATTTCATCAAAAATTACGCCAAAATATTTTGATTTATTTATGAGTATTTTGTTGAACACATTTTTAAAAATTATATTTCCAGTTATCGAAATTAGAGTATTTTTACTAATATAAGTGGATGTTGCTTCAGAATTTTTTAATTGATTTTCTAATGTGATATCTCCAGATAATATCTTGAATTTTAGAAGCTCTTTAAAGCTTCCTTCGATCTTTAAAGGGTTATCAGATAGATCAAGATTTTTTTAATTTTGTTTGTCGCCAATATAGATAGACAATCTAAGGGATGGGGGTAGAGGAGTATCTAAACACAGGAATGCACCTTATGCATTCTATGCATGCGCGTAATTTATTCACCGCTATCATAATGTTAGGTTATTATATCAAATCACTATAACACGATAATAATATGACTTTTGAATCAAATTTTCAAAATTTGAACATACTACTTACATATTTTTACACTTTTTTTTGTGCTTCGACCATTTCAGTAAATAAATCATTATACACATAGGCGTGTCCAGACCTCCATGGCTGGGGAGGCCAGTTATAAAATTTTAATTTTTTACTTACTACAGCAATCTATAATTTATATGTATAGATATATATATTTGTGACTTATTTTTATTGTATGGAAAGTATATAGCAACTAGAATTTTTTCGCCTTGCTAAATTAAAGATTTTTCTGTTCTTAAAATTTGTTTCCTATGCTATTACAACAATGAACTTATAAATAAGGCCTATTAACTATTGTAATAATTAGTTATTTTTTATAAATATTTTATCAAGTATACATCAACCTTCTCAACACATCTTCTTACCTACAATTATTACACAATAAAAAGTTATTTATTAAAATATTACAAATAATAAAATTCAATAAATTTAAAATTTAAATTTACCTTCTATTTAAAATTACCTACTGTTACTACTTCAGCCACGGATATAGTACTATATATATATATTAGGGTGGTCCTTATTTTTTAAGTTTAAAAATTTCAAGCCAGGTACCTGCCATCTTGTTCATTATAATCAGTAAGTAATTGGAACTAAATTTGGTCATGATGACTCACTCCCTTCACGTGCCTCAAGAGGGTTGAAAATTTGTCATAGATGGTAGTTTTGTAGTATTGTGAATTTAACTCAAAAACTATAGTACATAGCAAAAATATGTATAGAAAGTTAATTATTGCATTACTTAATTTGATTTTTTTTTACTAATTTCTTTATTCTAAACTCATTCAGTTTATACATTTCTTAATTATTTATGCCTAGTATAATTGAACAATTATATTTTTATGTTGAAATAATTTAAAACTTTTATTTCCATTTTCAAAACCAATAATATTTGTCTGTTGGGATAAATATCCAAAAATACCATATATTTTTTTAATTAGTTTCATTAAATAGAGGAAGAATGAAAGGTAGATGAACTAGAAATAAAATAAGAAAACAAAAGATTCTCACATTACAACGGTTATATATTGTACACATCCAATAAATACATATATAAATTTGTTGTTTTATACCACAGTATATTTAGTTAACATTGTTAACATAATATACTATTCAATTTACTGTAAATACACACTTCTGATGTAGATTTCACATAGGAATATAAACGGATTAAAACATAATTTTAGAAAATGTTTCTCACTACCCTGGAGTGTACATACAGAACAGCAGCTGCCAATATTATGTGTGTAGCCGTTAAATTGTTAAATTTTACAGTATAAATTATATTATTTGGTCTACGAAACGGGAGAAGGAAATAAAACTCTTTTTATGGCATCTCAAACTTGCGTAGCTCTCACAGCAGCTAAAATATGAGCATACGCAACGGAAAATACATACAATTTTGTCAAAAAAAAAAAAAAAAAAATAAATAAATAAATAAATAATAATAAAATTATGTTATCTGCGCATAATAATAATCATACACGTAATAATAAAATAATAATAAAAATAACTAAAATAAAATACATACTATACAATAAGAATAAATAAGATGAAATCTATCGTTTGCAGAAAAACGATGATAAATAAGGGTTTTATGAGAAAGAAAAAGAGAAAAAAAACAATTGACTGAATTTAACACAATAATCCTACGCGAAAATTACATATTTTTGTTATTGGCTTGTGTATATACGCTTACGCAAAAGTATTTAGTTCAAAATATATTCAATTTTTGTGAATAATTATTGTACAAAAATATAATATGTGCGTTGAGCAAGAATATTTCTTGGTACCCACTTATGACAAAACAATAACATTTTGCATAAATTTCAAATACAATAATACTATAATATAATGAGTTGCAGAAATCTTTAATTTCAATATAGTATATTATATCAGTGATAGTTGGTCCTGAAGATATGTGTAAGATTTTAAGATTAGTCAAAATGTTAAATTGTTCTAAGGGCAATAAATAAATAAATAAAACATAAAAAACTGATTTAATTTTCATTAATAAGAAAAAAAAATCAAGGCAAAAAATAAAATGTTCTATAATAAATATTTTCTAAATCTAAAAATTAAAATACTTCTGAAAATAATACGCAGGGGAAGAATATTTTTCATCTCATGTTATTTTTTTTTTTTTTTTGTTTTTGCACTTGAAAGAACGGATGGATAAGTAATGAAATATATTTTAATTTTTTTTTAATTTTTGATATGATGAAAATAGTATGTGACTAGTAGATGAACTGATAAAAGAATTTGAGATTCAACTTTCTTTTTCATTCAATTTATATCAATTGTTAAAAATTATACTATGTACTTTTTTTTTATTTTTTATTTGTTTAAAATATTATTATTTAAATTAATGTTTCGATACTGATTCACAGATCTGATTCGCCATATAAAGCAGTTGAAAATGACATGTAATCCAGGGCTCCTGGAACAGCATTGACACCCTTGTAGGGAGCCATACGTTGTATACAATATTCTGCCTGATCAGGTGGAAGTTCTCGTCGAAGTTCGTCAGATAGAATATAAGGCTATAATAAAATTCAAAAATAAATAATGAAGAAAATAACCATCTGAAATATATTTTGAAAAAATCTATTATATCTACCTTGTCACCAGCAAGAATGCGGAACGAATCAATCACTTGTTCAGCAGTATCAGTGTCAGTGGATTCTCGAGTCATAAAGTCCAAGAAAGCATCAAAGTGTACATATCCGGTACTGTTGGGATCAACAACAGCTAATATACGTTGGAAATCAATTTCACCCTGTAATAAATATAAATTTTAGGCTTTTAAGTTAAATTATATGGTAAACTATAATTTACCTGTCTATCCTTCCCAATGCTATAGCCAATAGACACTAAGCAGGATTTAAATTCTTCAGGGGCTAATCTGCCTGTACGATTCTTATCAAAGTGATTGAAACTAGCCCTAAATTCATTCAATTGTTCCTGTGTAATACCTTTGGAGTCTCTGGTCAATATTTGATTTTCTACTTCATTCACATTACGGTTGATTGAAGTCAATAGTTGTTCCCAACCGACACGCAGTGTCTCCATTGTATAATGAGTATATCTATAAATTAAGTATTAGTATTAAGTGTTTTTCCATAATACAATGCACTTGTAACTGTACCTGTTTTCAAAAATCATACCCTCTTGTACGGCTTGATGGATTTTCTCTAATTCCTCAATGTGTGGCTTGTAAGCAAATACATTTTGTTCATATTGGTTCAATTGGTTCAACTGATCTTCCAGTGAACCATGCATTCCCATACCAATAGCTGTAACAGCATCCATTTGCCTCTCAATCCACGGACCCACTTGATTAGCTTTTTCAGCAAATTGGCGACGTAACATCTCATTATCTGCAAAACATAATCCATAATTAAGTAATTTCATCTATGATAGATTTCAGTAAACATTTTAATAAAACATTAATAATTTACTCTGTTGTTTTCTGAGTTCAGCTTGTAGAGTCGTATCTCTTTGAGGCACAAGAAGTTTCACTTCAGACCATTTTTTGCTTAAATCCTGATCATACATTGAATGTTATAATATAACAAACAAAAATTATAAAAAAATATACATACAGTAGAAGTCAAAGTAGTGTAAGGATTCTGGAGACCACCAGGTATTTGGTATTTTTGTACTGTTGACTCAACATCTTTAACCAATCCAATGATAGAATTGTATTCTTTGTCAGCATCCGACAAAGTAGCCTTAAATTGTCCATGGGCATCTATTAACCCTTGAATTTCTTCAACTGTATGTACGATAAACATATCAACTAGATCTTCACGAGTACCATCCAACCAGTTGTTGAAAGGCTAATTAATTTAAAAATGATGGGTTAGTTTTAATAATTTGTAGTCTGAATTAAATTTTTTTATATCTACTCACTGCTGCTCTCTTGGCGAATTCTAAGTGCAATATGTCAATTTTCTCTAATATTTTTTCTGCATCATCCAAATCAGTTCTACGTTTCTGGGTCAAGTTACCCAATCTATCCCATTGATCGCAAATACGCTGACAGCGAATGTTCACACTTGTACTGTCGTGATATTCTAAGGTACTAAAAATGATAAATTATTCAAGTCTTTATAAATTACATTTCATGAATAAAAATAATTTAATGAAATAATTTACTTCAATTCATGTGCAATAGCAGCTATTTGTTCAACTCTATCTTGGTGAGCAGCCAGATCACTCTCAAAAGCTTCATGTTTCTTTTTTAAAGCCTTCAAATCATTAAGTTTGCATTGTCTGAAGTCTGAGCTCTGTAACATTTCTTCTTTACCACGGGTCCAATCTTCGTGAGTGTCTGCCTTAGCTTTAAATTTTTGTGCCAAATGCTCTAAACGCTCTAACCTCATCATTTCAGACAACAACCAATCTTCAAATGATTTTTCTGATTGTTCAAGGCCTTTCCATGCATTTGAAATGTCCTGAAAATTAAATGAAGAAAAATGTCATTAAAACTGTTAAGGGAAAAACTAATTACTATGCAGATTGAACTCACAGAAACCATTTTTCCTTCAGTTGGCATGTATGCAGGCCGATTGGATAAACGCAATTTTGTTTGCAGTGTGTTAAAGTTGGTTTCAAGTTTAGCTTTTTGTTCTACACGAGGTGGCTTGTGTTTGCGTCTGTATGTGCGGTATTCTTCAAGTCTCTTTTGTACACCAGATAAAGAGTTATCAGCTTGTCGGCTTTGAAGCCATGGCAATGTTCGTCTAATCCATTCTAAAAGCTACAAGAACACCATTAGTTAATCATTCTTAGGATTCATACAACAGTTAATGCTAGTGATACAGATTGAAAAATATACTTACATCACTAGCCAAACGCTCATATTCCTCCATCAAACGTTCGTTTTCTTGGTTCACTTTCAATACTTTGCAAATTCGGTTTGCTGCAGTCTCAGCCTAAAATGTTCAATAATCAAAATTATGACATGCAATTATACTAAGATTTTCAGTTAGTCACAAAAAGCTTAAGGCAATATTAATAAATTACCTTCTGAGCTCCAGAAAAGCAATGGTAATACGAGGAGACGTAAGTCATTATGGCCCTCTCGTCTGGCATTGCAGTATTTGTCATATCTATCAATGTTATAACAAACATGCAAAAATGTTAGATTCACTCAAAAGCAATCAGAATTATCAATTAGTACTATAATTAAAGTGGCATTGATTCAGCCACACAGTGTATATATTTGTGTATTTAATTTTATACCCATTTATTAAACTCTGCTGGTAAAGTATAATTTGATAATTAGTAAATATAGTTCATAATTTTAATTTAAAATAAGAAACTTGTTTAATTTTATTTCATAAATATTTTCTAACACAAATTTTTAATATATATATTATTGAAAAGTTTAATTAAAAACTTATTTTTTTTTTTTAATTTAGGCTAAAAATAAAATCTATATTAAAACAATGAACATAAGTGATAACCAATTTTTAAAAATAATTAAAAATGTTCACAAACTAAAATAAATAAATAAAATATAGAAAAGACTCTATAATGACAGTAGTTTGTTGATTAACATAAAATTTGATCAAATTCAAATTAATAATGATGCCAATTTATTTAATAATATTATGTTAATTTTAATTATTACCTGAGTATTATAATAAATTATAATCAATAACACTCTTGATATCCTAAAATGTCTAATAACAATTATAATAATTTATGAATGCTTTGTGCCTACTTTAAATTGTATATAATTATATTTGTTATACTTTTGAGTTACTTGTATTAGGTATGTAAAAAGAACATGGCGTACTAAATTCTTGAAAATGTCCTGTATGAAAATTTTTATATTAATTTTTTTAATTTTTTATACTAAAATTACGCCATTAGTTTTATAAAATAATTAAAGCTAAAAACATAATTTTAGTTTTCAGATGACATAGTAATGGTTCTATTATGGATATACTCATCAGTCCAAATTAAAACTTTGGACTCGTATGCTAATAATGAAGGTCTTTGTATCAAAGAACCACAGAAAATGTATGGACTATAAGCCTATTATGCAAAACGACATTCATTACGAGTTAGTATTTGGATGACACGCACTGCAAGGATAAAAAACGAATAAGTCCGGAAAAACACACGACACGCATTTTTACCTGTTGTGCGCCTTGGAATGCGTGATAATAACATGAAACATAGGTCATGATCGCGCGTTCGTCCGGTTTCGGTGTATTTATCAAGTCTACAAATAATCGTAAAGTGTAATTTCAAAATATATAGTCGCATTAAATGTATGTGAGATAATTCTTTCTCAAATACTCGGGACACACACACAACGATGGAATACAATAAAATATAACAATATATTATGGTTGCACTCTTATGACTAATAACAACACGATGACATACCTTCAGGGTCCAACATGCGGGGTATGTCCAGGTACTTTTCGGCTACGTCGAATGCGGTGTTTAAGTTCTGCAGAGGATTGTCCTTGGAGAGTTTGTGATAATCGATGAGATCGGGACGGTGACGGTGAATGAGGGCGCAGAATGCTAAACCATCCTTGAAACTGAAAAAAAAGAGTCATCATCTAGTCAAATAACTAACCGCATACACTTAAATGATATTAAAACATACCTGAGATGGAAGTTTTGCACGTTAACATTCTTGTACGGGGCGGTTTTCCGTTGACACCATAACAACAGACCTTCTTTGGCGGTCATTTCCTCCACAGAGATGTCTTGAATGGCGAATCTCAAAATAATAGTCCAGATCATACCCAGTGTCATTTTCAAATTTCCATCAACGATTTCTGTACAAGTATAATATCAAATATCATACATAAAAAATACAAAATATGTTTATGAATTATACCTTCGGCACCGATTGACACTAATTTCACGCCCTTACTGGCTATGAAGTCGAGGGCTTTGTTGACGTTGGCGATCTTGTGGAAGCGCATTTTACCTCTGTCAGGTTTTGGTAGTGTTTCGCCGGAAATTACTTCCAAGAGCAACATCAGTTTGAGACCGTTGCGGAAATCTTCTTCGATGTTCTCGATGGCAGTTCCAGCTTTACGCAAATGCGAATTGCACCATGCTGTAAAGGTCTGAAAAAAAAAATATATATATATAACGCGTTTAATAATTTATCAAATTTCTGAAAACGATATAATCAAGACGGCAAATTTATTGGTCAAGGCACATTATTCTTAACCATCATGTATCTATAGTAAAATAAATAATTTCTTATACTTTTATTATTTGGTATATTTTTTCTCATTACACTTTTATATAATTATTTTTCATTTATCAAAATAAATTATTTCATTGACGGTTACTTCATTTAAATTTATATTTTCTTCTTTTAAACGTTTATTTTTAACTTATGCAACTGATTAATTTATATATTACTTACAGTATGGTTATTAAAAATAAATAAATTTTCATTTATTTATTTTTAATAACCATACTGTAGATCAAGTAAATTGGGAAAAAAATTTAACATCAAAAATAGTATTGAATACTATATCGATATTGAATAAAAAGGTTAAACTATAAATAATAGATACTACGAAAATGTAAATTATTTAAAAATAAATACTAATAGCTATATTTTATATTGGCAATAAATAGCTTGACATAAATCTACACGATACGTTTTAATACTTCAGCTTAAAAAACGACCTATAGGAAAAAACCATCACACAGTAATAGAATAACTAAAAATAATAATGTATTTTTCAAAAATGTTTTTAAAAAAGTGTTGTTCTAGATCACCGATTTGAACTGTTGAGTTAGAAATAGTCAACAGATGTGACCTACTTGTCATTATATAGTTAAATCTAAATTTTCTACAATGCTTAACATACAAAATACGAAGAAACGTTTGAATTTCAGAACGAATAACGCAATCAATGTCGAGATTAACGAATAAAATAATTAAATTCAATACAAATTGTGTATAGCAGAGGTTTCCAAACTGTGCTCCACAATTGTATTTAAAGGGCTCCATTCGTTTTACCATAGAAAATGTAAAAACGTAACAATTATTGATTGTTATTTAAAACAACGAGAGTATATATTTTTACTCCGTCAATTCAAATACAATTCACTGATACGTATAAAACAGTATTAAAATTCCGATAGGAGAATATCATTTTTTAATTTTAGATAGTACGCATTCCCATTCCAGTTATTTCCCGACTAGATATATTATATATAAATATAATATTAAATATGCACTGTCTCGTTTTGAGTTTCTTCGTACATAAATACATATCATGTGCAATATACTTCGTAGAAGACAGGCATATAAAACTTAATACCAAATATTTCTTGGGACTCCACGAGAAAATACTGCTTAACTCTTCGTCTATACACATATTTTTTGGAACACCGTCCCTACACTAGGTCATAAATGGACAAACGTGTTTTTTAGAACTAAAAACATTTAGGAAAAAATCTGAAAAAATGTATATTTACTAATTGAGGGTTGCATTTTAAGATTCTGAAGTTTGTTTTACGATTCATTAATAATTACATTCTTTACAAAATTAAAAGTAAAAGTGACGAAATTGCAAAAAAAACGCAATTTCGAAATTTCGGTTGTACTTACCATAAAAGACCCGATGTACAGACGAAGAGTTAAAAAGGCTACGAGGTTAAAAAAGTTTGGGAATCGCTGGTGTATAGTATACAATACAAATATAATTTCGACATACTGCAAGAACTTTATTTGATATTAACATTGGCCATCAACACAGCAGCCCAGCGCTATATAATATGCATTTTTTAAATATATGAGTATATAAGTAAATATATTTAACTTATAACAACGAAGTGTTTGAATTAAAAATAAATGACTTAACGATTTCAAACCAGCATGCATGCCTATAATATAGTTAGATAAATACGATCAAAATACAAATCTTACTTTCTAACTTTTCACATTCGTTGATACTAAACCTACAAGGATAATGCAGTCAAAAATCAGAGGAGCCGTAACCCGAACGAGATTGGTAATTTTATATAAATGATTATTGTTATAATAATATTTGCGCTTCGATTGCGGTCACGCGGGACTTGTCTTTTGTGGTTTCTACAACATTCACTTTTCGTAGAAGCGTGATATCGTCTTTCTCTCTCTCTCTCTCTCTATATATATATATATATATATATATATATATATATATATATATATATATATATTTAATGGTCATTTGACTAAAAGGTAACGGTTTTCGAGCATGATAAAAAACAACTAGTCGTTGTTGTCGACGATCGACGGTCAAGGGAATACAACAATTTCGAACAAAAAAATAGTAATCATCAAACGACGTCATCGTCACTCTAATTATGCATTTTTTTCTTTTATGTAAAACTGTCGTTTAAATACCTCATTTATACTTCCTTAACGTTTAAATATCTGTGTAGATGTACAAGTATAATACATTCGTTCTCCTGAAACGACAGCACACTCATAGTTCGGTACAAATAACACCATACCTATTATATACTATCCAACTTTCAAACACTATAAAGATAAGTAAACAATAATGGATTATTTATTATAATATTAAATATTTGAAAATATTTTCAAACGGAAATGGCAGAAAAAAAGAATTATGACATGTGGATTGATTATTATAAGTAATTGTAAATTTAAAACATTCGTAGGTAGTAATAATAACTAATATAAGATTAATACTAGTAATACCTAATTCTTCAAGTTTAAAGAGTTTTCATAATCAAACTCGTATGTTAAAGAAGCGAAAGCTTAATTCATTAATTACAGAATAAACGACTTTTGTTTTAAGAAAATAATTTATGAAATATTATACATTATACTTTGTGTTGTGCATTTGTTAATGCTATTATATTTATTAGTATTTCGATCACACTTATTGAGTTAATAGTTACAATTATAAAAGTTAATAATAAACAAAAAATAATAATTTTGTTTTAATTTTGAGCGCAACTTAATTTTATTAATGTTCTTTTCGCCCAAAAATGACCTTCTTTTCGCCCACGTCGTCTTTTCGATCAAAAATGATAAAAGTTTCCTCTTTTCGCCCAAAAATAATTGCTTTCTTTTCATCCATGGTTTTACTTTAAACATTTAGGAAACCATTGTCTCAAAATTAGTTTAATAAAGCCATTCGTAATGAACAACTGATTTTAATATTATTTTTCTTGGTCTTGTGTGGAAATCTTCTAAAGATTTATGTTTACATGCTGTGTTCACTATTTGGCGATTAATATTTGATTTATCGTACTCATGATGATTATGTTCTTCGACTGCTGAGTAAATGCATTATTAGTATCCGTGTATAATTTTGGATCACACGTTCTCGTTACACATCTCCAACGGGTAGAGTTGTCTTTTTTATTAGTTGATCTAAAATTGTTACTTTGAGACAGTGATTTCCACAATATTAAACGTGAAACCTTGAGCGAAAATAATACAATTTTATACATCAATTTTAGTCAAAAAGAACCGCCCTTAATTTTATAACATATAAATTATCACTTAACAGCCGGTTATTAGTATGTCTCGTATAAAAATAAACATGTTTTCACCTATTTACACTATAGTATAATGATTCGTACATATTATTCAGTCTCTACTACAGTGTTCTACTGAGTAAGTCGTTCTTTGTATAATTAACAAAACACTAATAATAAACCCATTGATTTTTCTGTTGAACATTTCTTATTAACTTAATATATATTATACTACTTGTTTATCTTAATTTTATTCGCTCATCATAATATTTTCATAGACTAAATGTTATTCGCTATAGATAATTTAATAAACGGTAACTCCAAGAAAATGTGATGTATCTATATCTAATATCTATATCTAAATCAGTATCTAATAAATAAAACAGGAACATCTGAGTACTATTATTACGTATAATTATAAATGTATTATTGTATTATTGTATTATTGTAATTATAATTATAAATGTATTTAACCATTTATCCATACAACCATGGAAGTACACAAAATATTTATGTAACCGGTATAAAATAGAGCTCTTAAAACACGTGTACACGTGAAATACATGTTTATCCAAAATATATATCCATTTTTACAATGGTAAAATTAGTAATCTTATGTTATACACTTGAAGTTTTAATAAAATATTAATAGTACAGTATTAAGTTAAGGATATACGTTTTTATTTTGGATTTTACACGTGACACGTGAATTCCGTGAATTCACGTGTATTAAGAGCTCTAGTATAAAATAATTTTAAAACTAAAGCAAATGCACGTTAGTTAATTTCATACTACTTCCATTGTTTAATGTTCCATTATGATTTTCTAATTATATTGTCGCTTATCGATATGTACTTGAATATCAATACAGAACAATAAAATATTTGGTGCATTTAAAGTAATTTATGTTTACCTCCACACCAAGGTCAAAGTTGGGTGAAAAGTGTATGCTATTATGCATTTTATTACGACAAAACTGCATAGTCATTTACAAAGTATGCTCATACATGATACACATTAATATATAATATACATAGTTTATAAGTATTTTTTTCCAATCAATTGTTCAACCCAGAACCTAAGATAATTAACTAAAATGAAAATATTTTTTTTTATTTTTTTTTAAATAGGTCTATCAGTTATTTAAATTAACAATTTTTAAGAATTTTAAATTTTAAAATTTTAAAATTACATATATAATGTTTTAAGTTCTCTTTTTAACTGTCACTAAGTGCGATTTTTGTATTTTTACTCAGCTATACCTATACAGAAAAATTGTAACATAAGTATAATATATAATTCATAAGCAAAACATAAATTATATAATGTGATAGATATTTAATATTATATATTTTTTTAACACTTCTTCTCAATCCCTCGACCAATTGCGTAAAAACAACACTTTTTTATTCAGTGCTGGCATCCACGGGAGGTCTTTTCTTTTAAATTATATTGCAGGTGTATTATAATTACTATTCATAAGTACTACATTATACCAATATAAACAAAAATATAACAATGAAATAAAGATATAAAGATGATAAATATAACCTTGGAATAAAAGGAAATTTTTTCGAACTAACAATTTTTTTTTTTAATATAT